TATTTCTGTTAAAACTTTTGGTTTTAGTTCAGGATATAGTACGCAAATGTGATTTAAAGAACCTGACAGGGGCCGGCCTGGTGGCGCAGCGGTTAAGTTCCCACGTTCCGCTTCTTGGCGGCCCGGGGTTGGCCGGTTCAGATCCCGGGTGCGGACATGGCAGTGCTTGGCAAAAGCCATGCTGTGGCAGGCGTCCCGCATATAAAGTAGGGGAAGATGGGCACGGATGTTAGCTCAGGGCCAGTCTTCCTCAGCGAAAAGAGGAGGATTGGTGGCAGATGTTAGCTCAGGGCTAATCTTCCTCAAAAAACAAAAAAAACAAAAAACAAACATATAGTATTTTATTTTTTCCATATTCATGGATTGTCTTTCTGGCCGGAATGTAAGCTTCTTGAACACAGACCCTGTGCTCTTTTTTTAAAAAATATATCTCTCATGTTGGTCACAATGCTATGTGCCTAGGAGTTGATCAGTAAATATTAGGAAGAACAAATGATGATTAATAGATTCAGCATTTATTTCTCATGTAATTTTCCTAAAAACAACGATCATTATCACCACCACAGAATAATTCTTAGTGTAATGTAATAAGAATTAGTGAACACAGAAACTATTACACTAGACTAAGTAAGAGATGTTGATAGTTCCAACTAAGGTGTGTCAATGGCCTCCAGCCAAGGACCACGAAGAACAAATCTGTAGTTGAACAAGTTGGATTTGTACTCTTTTTTTTTTTTTAAGATTTTATTTTTCCTTTTTCTCCCAAAGCCCCCCAGTACATAGTTGTGTATTTCTAGTTGTGGGTCCTGCTAGTTGTGGCATGTGGGACGCCACCTCAGCGTGGCTTAGATGAGTGGTGCCATATCCGTGCCCAGGATTCGAACAGGTGAAACTCTGGGCCACTGAAGCAGAGCACGCGAACCTATCCACTCGGCCACGGGGCCAGCCTCTGGATTTGTACTCTTGCAGTGAGGGAGAACCCACATCGTGGGGAACCACAAGCTATGAAGTGTCTCCATAAGAAGGTATTTCTCTTACTGAGACATTTCATGGCTCTAAATTCAATTATAGAATGTGAGCTTTGGTTTGATGATGGGGGCGAGGCAGGGGGTCTAAGAAAATGGAGAATTGCTTTAGATTGGATATTGTGAGGGAGTGGCATCAATTCTATGACTGGATATGTCAATAAATCTTTAGGGAGGGCTGACTAGAACAAGGATAAAGCTGTAATTGGCAAAGAAGTAGCAGTCACTCACTTTAGCCTAGAAAGAGGGCATTTGGTATTTTGTGGGTAGCTTACACAACTTATAAAGGAGCTTTGCTTTCTATCATTTTGTCACAGTCTCAGAGTAATCTTGTCTGAGGTCAGTGTTCTATGAGATCGTTTACGTCCAACAGGAAAATACTATGGCCTGGCCGAGTGTCAGGGCAGCCTTCAACTCTCAAGGGCTGCTTTTGTTTTTCTTGTTTTCTTTCTCAGGTCCTGGTAGAGGAGATAAAGAAAAGTAAGTAAATTCACGAGATGTGTAGCATATGAAGCTTACAGGACTGGATATGGAGGCAGAGGGTGATGTCAGGGGTGATTTCTAGGTTTCTGTCTTGCAAGCAGAGAGGATAGCAATTTTGTTCACTAAAATAGAACCAGCTTTGTGTTATCTTCCAACTTAACACCAAAAACATACGAAAAGTTAACATTATCATAGGCATTTGACAGATGAGAAATTAAGCCTTTACAGAGGTTAAATACCTTGCCCACTGTTGCATGGAATCAGAAGTCAGATTCAGCTTCGCCTGACTCCAAAGACATATTTACTTTAAAAAAATTATGATAAAATTCATGTTTATGTGAATTTTAACCATTTTATGTATCCAGTTCATTGGTTTTTAGTACATTCACAGTGTTTTGCAACCATTACCACTTGAATTCTAGAACATTTTCATCACTCCAAAAAGAAACTCCATACCCATTAAGTAACTATTCCCCATTCTCTTCTCCCTCTAGCCCCTGGTAAGGACTGATCTTTTTGTCTTTACGTATTTACCTATTTTGAGCATATCATGTAAATGGAATCATACAATATGTCGTGTTTTATGTCTGGTTTCTTTCACTTAGCACAATGTTTTCAAGGTTCATCCGTGTTGTAGCATGTATCAGCACTTCATTCCTTCTTATGACTGAATAAGTGCCATCGTATGGATATATCACATTTGTATATCCATTCATCAGTTGATGGATATTTGAGTGTTTCCACTTTTTGGCTATTATGAATAATGCTGCTATGAATGTTCATGTTTAAGCTTTTGCTTGAACATGTATTTACTTATTTATTTATTTTTGAGGAAGATCAGCCCTGAGCTAACATCTGCTGCCAACCCTCCTCTTTTTGCTGAGGAAGACTGGCCCTGAGCTAACATCTGTGCCCATCTTCCTCTACTTCATATGTGGGATGCCTGCCACAGGATGGCTTGATAAGCAGTGTGTAGGTCTGCTCATGGGATCCGAACTGGTGAACCCTGGGCTGCCAAAGTGGAATGTGTGAACTAAACCGCTGTACCACTGGACAGGCCCCTTTATTTATTTTTTAAATTTATTTTTATTTTCATTTATTTTATTTTACTTTTTTGCTGAGAAAGATCTGCCCTGAGCTAACATCTATGCCAATCTTCCTCTATTTTGTATGTGGGTCACCACCATAGCACGGCCACCAACAAGTGGCATAGGTCCATGCCCTGGGGCTGCTGAAGCAAAGCATACCAAACTTAACATCTAGGCCCCTTGAACAATTTCTTTTTTAAAGGAAGATTGGCCCTGAGCTAACGTCTGTGTCCATCTTCCTCTACTTTGTATGTGGGACATCTGCCACAGCATGGCTTGATACAGCAGTACTCAGGTCCATGCCCGGGATCCAAACCAGCAAACCCCAGGCCGCTGAAGCCGAGCATGCAAACTTAACAACTATGCTACCGGGCCAGCCCCCTCTTGAACATGTTTTTAATTCTATTGGATATATACTTAGGAATGGAATTGATGGGTCATACAATAATTCTATATCTAACTTTTGAAGAACCACCAAATTGTTTTTCATAGCAGCTGCTCAATTTTACATTTCCACCAGCCGGTATAGGAAGGTTCCAATTTCTCCACATCTTTACCAACAATCATTACTACTGTATTTTGTGGTGGTTGTTTATAGCCATCCTAGTAGGTATGAGTGGTATCTCATTCTGTTCTTGATTTTCATTTCTCTAATGACCAAGGATGTTGAGCATCTTTTCATATGCTTATCAGCCATCTGTAAATCTTCCTCGGAGGAACGTCTATTCAAGTCTTTTGGTCATTTTTAAATTAGATTACTTTTTGTTATGAGTTGGAAGAGTTCTTTATATATTCTAGATAATAGACTCTTATCAGATATACCTGTAAACATTTTCTCCCATTCTGTGAGTTGTCTTTTTACTTTCTTATTACTGTCCTTTGATGCACAAAATTTTCTAATTTTGATGAAGTTTTCTTTTTTTTGTTGCTGTTGTTGCTTGTGCTTTTGGTGTCATATTTAAGAGACTGTTGTCATGTCCAAGGTCATGAAGACTTCCACCTCTGTTTCCTTCTACGGGTTTTATAGTTTCAGTTCTTTTTTTAAAAATTTATTTTTTTGAGGAAAATTAGCTCTGAGCTACTATCTGCCACCAATCCTCCTCTTTTTTGCTGAGGAAGACTGGCCCTGAGCTAACATCCATGCCCATCTTCCTCTACTTTACATGTGGGACGCCTGCCACAGCAAGGCTTGACAAGTAGTGAGTAGGTCCACACCCGAGATCCAAACTGGTGAACCCCAGGCTGCTGAAGCGGAACGTGTGAACTTAGCTGCTGTGCAACCAGGCCAGCCCCTATAATTTTAGTTCTTACATGCAGGTATTTGATAAATTTTGAGTTACTTTTTGTAAATGGTATGTGGCAAAGGCCAAAATTCATTATTTTGCTTGTGGATATCCTGTCGTCCCAGTACCATTTGTTGAAAAGACTATTTTTTCTCCCATTGAATGGATCTGGCATCCTTGTCAGAAATCAGCTGAACATAGGTGTATGGGCTGATTTTGGGACTCTCAAGTCTATTCCATCATACTGACTTTTTAATTTGACTTTTCGTAAATCACTTTTGGAATTATTTTACTTGGCATTTTATCTCCAAAACTCACAAATCATTTTTTCAGTTGATTGAAACAAGCCAGAATCAAATTTGATGTTTGAAAAATTTACTGAAAGTCAAGAGAAGGGTTTCATAGCAATGTTATTACAATGTTAGCCTATGTTACAATTATATACTTTGCTATTAGAATCATTGCTAAAGGCATAACTTTATGAGACATCAGGAATCCATCTAACATATCAGAAAAGGAAATTATGACAATAAAAATATTAGACACTATATAGCATAATATAAAATATGAATGAATATATGAAGTAAGGATTTTTAACATTTAACTCTTTCAAAAACTTATGTACAGTAAGACTAAAACAATACAATTATGTATTCAACTTTTTCTGTGGATTGTTTACCTGCATTGCAAGGGTTGCAATCAAGGAGGACTCCTGGGACTAATAGGCACTCTCTGCCATGTTGGCTCCCTATATTTTGTTGGATAAAATGCTATCTCCTTGCAATACTCTGTCAATCCTTCCCTCCCAAATATTTTGTCACATTCTCTTATACAGTGAACATTTCGAGAGAAGCACCACATACATACAAAAAGTAGAAGATCTTTACCTGGTTGGCATTACTAGGGTTAAAAGATCCATTGGAAAGAATAGATTTTTCTCGGGGCCAACCCCGTGGCCGAGTGGTTAAGTTCACGCGCTCTGCTACAGCAGCCCAGGGTTTTGCTGGTTTGGATCCTGGGCACGAACATGGCACCACTCATCAGGCCACGTTGAGGCGGCGTCCCACATGCCACAACTAGAAGGACCCACAACTCGAATATCCAACTATGAACTGGGGGTTTTGGGGAGAAAAAGCAGAAAAAATAAAAAGAAGATTGGCAATAGTTGTTAGCTCAGATGCCAATCTTAAAAAAAACCCAATAGATTTTTCTCTTCTCAAAATTCAAGCAACTCCCTTCCAAACGTTCACTAATTATATGCAAAATTTGTGGTTGTGGTTTCTAAACTATGGACTTCGTTAAAAGGATCTGTGTTTCCAGATTTATTACCTGAGGCATCAACTCACTTTTAGAACATCCGCGTATTCATTTTAAGATCCTTTGTTATGAAATAGCCTGAAGGTGACCATGCACATTCTATACCAAGAAAAAACCCTCTTACGTACAAACATAAAAACATGCCTCAGACAATGAAAACATACAGCACATGCTTGGATATTAATGCTTTGAAGAGAGGGTTTGGGGTTACAATCACCCAGATTCTCTCATTAGGAGGTTCTATAGATCATAAGTGAATCCCAAAGGAAAAGAATAGAAAAATCTATCACTAATACCATTGAAAACTCAGAATAAAGCAAATAATAAAAGATAGTGATTATAAAAACACTTGACCCTCTCATCATGCTTTTAAGGATTTACCTTCTGCTTTCTCCCTGCCTAAAAGTCATGGAACATCTGACACTTTAAGTGCTCCCAAGCCTTGCAGTTCTAGCGTTTCACGGTAGGGGGCGTCGTTGCATTAAAACAGCCCCAGTTGGTTGCAGCATCATCCTGGTGGGCCTGTGTTCCCCCTCTATTTTCAAGAGATACATATATATATATATATTATAAAGCCATATATATGAATATTTTTTCTCTAAACTCTAAGAAAGTGAGAGTTGAAGAAAAACAGCGTTCTTGAAGGGATGTTCTTTCATTCACTATCTTCAGAGATACTTCATTGTATGTGACATTCTTGGAGGTTGGTGTCAAAGTCCCAAAGTGCGAAATGCATCTCGTAAGTCATCCACCTCATATAGGGGCTGTAGAGAAGGAGAGAAATAAACTGAGTGGATGACTGTGTAACATTTTGGAAAAAAGTAAGTTGGGAAGGAGAGGGAAGAGGAGAGGAAGAATTCTACCAAGAGGGAAACACAATCCTGAGGAAGTCGAACAGAAAGCCGACAAACGAAAGAAAGACAGGGGAAGGGAAAGGAATCATAGCAGAGGGCTCTGAATTGTGAAAGAGCAGAAGAGTAAACTCAACTGTAAGAAAAACGACAACAAAAAAGACAGAGAAAATAAGGCTTTCATCAGAGGAAAAATAAGGAGAGAGTGATAAATACACACACACAAAAAAATATATGAAAACGTAAGAAATATAAGAAAAGAAAACGTAAGCAACTCGAGGAAAAGATGACTTTGGAGAGAGGAGGAATGAGAAGCATTCTTACCAAAAGGATGCGTCGAAGCTGTCTGGATAGTCGGACCGAATTTTCATGCAGCCCCTCCCAAGCTTTGAAAGTTCTTTCACGATTTTCCACAAAAGTATTCCAGCAATAAAAATAATCTTTAAAAAAGGAGGGGGGAGGGGGTAAAAGTTAAGTCAGATCCCAGATCAAGAGGAAAGAAAGAAAACCCCAGGCCCTTTTAAATTCTCGTTTCCCCCAAACCCTCGTGTCCAAGCCATTAATTCTTTTCCTCCAATTCTGGTTGATAATTTTTGGCTCCAGGGGTGAGCTAGAACTCTCGTACCATTCTATCCCCTTAGTTTCCTCCCTGACTCTTTTCCATCTGAATTGCAGTCCAGAATGAGAGCTGCTGCACTGAACCTGCGCAGAAAAGGGTCCCCTGCTCACCTTTGAAGGTCATGATTGCGATTTGGACCCCAGCGCGGTGGAGCCGCCGCAGCCCCTCGGGCTCAGCCTTGCGGTCCTCGCAGAAGTAGAGGCGCGCGGCGAAGATCCTCAGGCTGAGGTTGGGGTACCCTCTTAGAAAGTCGGCCACGTGTCGGGCGCAGTCGTAGCAGGGGCTCCAAGAGGTGAACCAGGTGACGCGGTAGCACCGGCCAGGGTCCAGGTCCCAGTCGGAGATGTAGCGCAGGAAGAGCAATTCCACGTGGCACCCGGACTGGGGAGAGAGCAGAGGGCTCAGCTGCTGTTTACTGATCTTTATTGTGGTGCTGGTAGCTTTACAGCCATTAATTCATCTCCCTCCCACAGTGCTCTTTTTTGGAGTGTCTGCGGTTTTCTCCTCATGTTTCAGAGAGGTTAAGCAACTGCCCGAAAGAGCACAGTGGTAAGTGGTGAGCCCAAACCCTTTGCACCCTTGGCCTTTCAGAGAGGAGAAAGGCTATGGATTTTCTGTGGAATGGGGAGGATGAAATCTGCTGTGTGGCTGAAGAAGCATCACGCTATCTCAGTAGAGATTTAATTTGTGCTTGTGAAGTTACCTTTTGCCCCTTTGAATTGAAGTAAAATGGCTTGGCAGCGGCTGTTGATGTAACATGGTGGAAATACACTGGACCACTAGGTGGAGGGAGGAAAATTTGCGGTTGGGAGGACTGCAGTATGGTGAGGCGGACAGAGTGGGCATGGTAAGAGGCTAAGAGGGGCTGGTGTGGGCTAAGAGCAGTTAAATAAGGTGTCTGCTCCTTGTATGATCCCCATAACTGTAATAACCACAATAGGGAGATGTAGCAAGTCCACTTAGTATTGCAGAAAAGTCATTAGTCCTGGAACCTGAAGACCTAGGTTCCATTTCCTGGCATCACCACTCATGCGACTTAGACAAGTTATCCAACTCTGGGATCTTCTAATTCCTTATCAGGAAAATAGGCTGGCATTCTGAGGATTAAATGACAGGGAAGTAAAGGGTTGGTGACAGCAAAGCCTTCTATAGTTAGGATGTATCATATCGCCAGATAGGAAAGAGATTAGTATGTAAAACAATTGCAGCAAGATCATTTGTACAATGCAAATGGAGGCAAAGAAAACTGAATAGTAAAATAAGCAGTAAGCAATGAGTCAGACAACGTCATTCACTCGTGGATTCTTCCCTGGGCCTCCAAGACCAGATGTCGCCGCATGTTATGAGCGGGGGAATTTCATTGGCAGAAGCTTCTGTAAACCCATCTGGATTTTGGTGAAGAAGTCTCTTGGAAATGTAATTCTCTGATCTTCTGGACGCTGAGAGATTGATTTCATTAATTAATGATTTGAAGCTTCCCTGAGTTTTCTGGGGCACGCCATGCTGAATTTATTCACTGGCCTAAGATCTATGTGAGCAGCAGGGAATAGAAATCACTTGGAAAATAGAATTGAATCATTATTAATTTTTCCTGAATTTTTCTTCCTTAATTTTCAAAAATTCAAAAGCCTGTTTTTTGCGTTTAAAATTTAGCTTGAATGAGCTGATAATGTTTCTCCAAGTCAAAAGGTTCCTCCCTTTGATTTCTCCCTTAATTTCAAAGGCAATTTGGATGCTGGGGAAAGGAGAGGAAAGTTTGGGGGCAGTTATTCTTGGCCTTGAAGCAAGATATGGCATTAATGTGCCCAGCGCGACTGGGGAGGATATTAAATGACATCCTTTGGTGCATATCTATTATGGTTGCATGGACATGCAAAAAAGAAAAAAAATGGATTTGAGGAATCTAGTGGAAACATAAATGCGAAACAGGTTAAAAGTGGTACCATCAGCAGGTGACTCGAAAGCGCCCACAGTTCAGCTTTTCACTGCCTGGGAAGCAAATGTTAGTGATACCTTGTTTCGAAGGTGACCAAAGTCCAGTGAAAAGGAGGTGGCACTGTCCCGCCGCTTCACCACATAGCACAGGTAGGTTTCGTGGCGGCCCTTAGCCCAGCGGACATTTTTGAAGTGGTAAAGAAACTTCCTCTGCTTCATCAGGAGGCTGTGGATGAGAGGAGGGAGAAAAATGAAGGAGCACAGATCATTCTCTGGTCACTGCTGGCTTTCCTCCAGCTGTTGTCTTTTTTATTCTGTAATTACTTGGGCCAAACCAGAGAGAATGCTCTGGTTTCCTTTGCTGGATGCCTGAGACCTACTGAGCTTGGAATCTCTTGTAAACCTCTTTTTATGCTTATATTTAAGATCAGTGGAGAGAGAGAGAAACCCCAAAGCCATTCGAGCTCACAGGACAGTCTCCTCCCATGGCTGTCTTCTCCGTGCTGGTAACTCGGAATTACAAACTTGTTCCTCAGTCCCATAATTATGTTTCCAGGTTTCCCCGCCAATCTCTACCTACATGTCCAATGTGTACTTCAAACTCAACATGGTCAAAACAGGATTCCTAAACTGCCTTCTGTCCTGACTGGCCTGCCCGTCCTCCTGACTTTCCCATCTCAGGTAACCAGGCTAAAAGCTTCAGACCATTTTGATTCTTCTCCTTCTTAATTCTTCATATTTAATTAATGATGTAAATTTATTGATTTAAGCCTCCAAATATTTCTTGAATTTGCACCTGCTCTATTTCCTCTGTTCCCTGCTTCAGTCCAAGCCCTTATCTTCCTTCACGTTAGCTGTTGTCCTGGCCTCTTCACTGGGCTCTCTGGTTCCATTCCCTCCAAAATAACATTCTCCGTGCTGCACCAGAGGGATCTCACAGAAACCCAGGTGGACCGTGTCATTTCCATGCTGAAAAACCCCTAACGAGTCTCTTCTGCCCACAGGATGAACTTCAAACTCCTTAATATGATATTTAGGCCAGTTTTTACATTTGGACATCAGTCTACATTTCTAGCCTCATTTCCTGGTGCTTTTTCCCTTCCTTTCCCACCAATTCGGGTCCCTCTGCAGCAGATACTCACCCCGCCACTCCTTTCCTTCGGCTTTTTCTTCCCAGCCACCTTGCTCCCACACGTCCTCTCACTGAATGGTTCGCTAAGTTTTTCCACTGGGCAAACCCCACACATCCTTCAAAGCCTGACCACAGTTTCAACTCTTCTGGTAACACCTTTCTCGCTACCACTATCCCCAAACTTCTAGGCAAAAATCGAGCAATAACAGCAACAAAAACCCTCCTGTAGTTTCCCATTGTTCTCATTGGTCCCGCTTATCCCTGTCAAAGGGGTAGCTGTCCTCTGTTACAACTGATTGCTGACATCTCTGTTCCCCAACTAGACTTTCTGCATTTTGAGGTAGAAAGTGTCACCTTATGAGTAATGTTTTGGTTTTCAAAGTCTAAGAGCAATGCTTGACTGTTGTCAACTTAAGTACTATAAAAAAGTAGAAAGTTTTAAATTTTAAAATATTGAAGAATTTTAAAATTTAGAATCTCAGTGTCCAGTGATAATTAGACATAGTGTCCAATGATGATTACTGTTAAAAATCTTGTTTTCCATTCCGGTCTTTTTATAGGTGTATATTTACATGATTTTGATTATACGGATTTCATACGTAGTTTGGTATCCTGCTGCTTTTTTTGACTCGGCTCTCACCATGATCTAAATATTACGCTGTGTTGTGCACACGCGGGCACTGGTTGCTCTTCCTCTTTGTTTCCTGGCTCCCCGCACAGTGTCTTCCCTATCATAAGCACCGAATCAAATTGAATTTGTGGAAATACTCTCTACCAACCAAGTTTTTTGCCATTGTGAACATCACACAAGCTATAGTGTGGTTGATACGAAAGCACTAATAGTTTTTGTCCTGAGTCTTTCCCACAAATGTATTTATCCAATTTGCGGAGATAATGCTGCCACCTAATGGCACTGGGCAGAAGTGCAAAGAACTTGTAAACGTAAAGACCTAGTCAAGGATTTGAATACGGTTTGCTGGCAAGAGAATTGAAACTTTTTTCACCTTTTTTTTTTTTACATTGAGGTATAATTTACATATTTAAAATGTACAATTCTATGAATACTGGCAGATGTAAACACCCCAAACTGTTACCACAATCAGGATATAGAACGTTCTTGGGGTACCCTGCCCCCCAGATTCCCTCATCCGCCTTTTCAGTCAATGCATCCTCTCTCCCCCAGGCAACCGCTCATCTGCTTTCTGCAGCTATAAGTTACTGTTCACTTTCTAGAATTTCCTATGAATCATACATCATCTCTTCCTTTGTATCTGACTTTCACTTAGCATAATGGCTTTGAACTTCAGCTGTGCTGTTACATATATCACGAGTTTGTTCCTCTCTACTGCAAAGCAATATTCTATTGCACGGATATATAGTACGTTTCATTTAGCGATTCACCTGTTGATGGACGTTTGGCTTGTTTCCACTTTGCGGCTAGTGTGAATAAAGCTTCTACGAACATTCATGCACCAGACTTCGTGTGCACGTATTTTGAGAATTGACATTTTAACATGCGATACATGTGATCCTGAATTTAAAAGTTAGGTACCCAAATGTCAACTTTAGCAAGTAGATAAGCAAGGACACGAGTTTTTTATAGCTGTCTCATTTTAAATGTCCTGCTTCACACCCATGACGCTTATTGGAATACACTTTAAATCCTAAGGCAGAGAACTAGACTTATCACCAGTATACACATGTGTATAACAAGCAATATAAAAACGATTCAATCGTATTTTAGAATTAAAAGTGTATATTTGGCAGGAATCTAGAATGGATGCTAGCAAGAATCTAATAATAATTGGCTTTATTTTGAATGACAATAATTTCCTATGTAATCACCGTAGCACCACCATCATTACTATTACTATTGTTACGTAATTAGCATACAATAATCCTTAACACATATAAATTGAATACTTAATAAGTGCTTAATAAATACTGAAGAGAAAGAAAAAAATTTTCTCCTTGGGACCCAGTGAGTTTTAAACAGACCAAGCACCATCTCTTACCGGTCAATTCCTTTTACACTTAACCTACCCTCCTGAGCTGTATGGATAAGAAGGTTGGGGACAGGAGGGACTGCATCAGGCACTGCGGGCCGTGTGGTGAGAACCTTTTACCGAAGAAAAAGTGTTCTGGGAGGATAGAAAAGGAAGTGACATAGGTAAAGAGATTCAGACGGACTTGACCTCCTGCCCTGCATGAAAATGCAGTTGTCCTTTCCTGTTTCTGTCAGAGGTTACCACAGTGAAGCGAATTGCATGATTGTGACCTGTTAATTAACTTTCTCGATCCATCGCTTCCTTCAGCTCTAGCTAGGAGCCTGTTTCCAGTACCTGTTCTCTTGGTTTCTCTTCTGGGTACAAAGGGCTTCGCAGAGGCAGTTTTTCAGGCCTGCAGGTTGACAGCTGCTCTGGACAGCTGTGCTCCCTGAGGCAGAACACTGCTGCATCCCCAGCAAGGCAGACCAGAGACAAATGGGTTAAAAATAAAAGTGACGAAGTCCTCTCCTGCTGTGTGTGTGCTGTCACTAATGCGGTCTGCAGATATTATTTTTCTTAATGATAATTATATATTTCCCTTTTTCTCCTGTTGCAATTTCATCTTTTCTCCTTTTTTGTCTTTCTCTGAATTTCAAATACTGATTTTACCTTTGCTTTGCATTTCATTATATACAAATATCTCCCCTGAACCCTTTACCTCTGACATGCCTTAGGTTAGTTTTCAAAATCTCGTTGTGAACTGAGCAGACATTTGACATTTTTGCCCTCAAGAAAGTTTTCTGAAGAACACTTAATCTACTGTTAGAAATCTTAACTCTAGAGTGTAAATTCTTTGTAAAAGAATTAAATTGAGATAAAGTATATGGATTAGGTATGATTCTCATGCATTTGTATAATCATAAAAGTAGGAATAGAATAAGTTCTGTCATAATAACTTCATTGTTATAAACTGCATGTGAAGACATTATGAAAATCTTACAGAATATACCTTTAAAAAGCAAGTTAAGCCAAGTATGAAGAAATTGAAAGACTAAGTAAATAGTAAAAATGCCATGAACTGCCTAGCAATTGGACCTATAACATTAAATACCTTGCTTGACTGAATTTTTCTCCTTATAATAGACACAATCATAGTGACTTTCAAGCAATTAATTTTGAATATTGGCATTAAAAAATAATTTCCTTACTATGTAACTAAATTTTTCAGTACAGTCTCCCTAGGAAAGTTCATCTGCAAGTGCTTTTGTAATTGAATATTTACAAAATTATGATTGCACTTACCACTACTGTTTTTAGTATAGTATAGTACTGCTGTTCCCTTTTCCTGATTTGAGTCTCAAAAGCATTTGCTGTATTAATAATATTACCATGAACCAGTTCTAAGTGCAGTCCAATGTCAGGAAGAGTCAATACAGGGTGCATAAAAGTTCTTTTGAAAATGGAAAAGAGAGGATGTAAGATCTGAACACGTAAGCAGACAGCATGTAAGATCTGAACAGATGAGACAGATCCAGAAAAATAAGTGTGCATATTGACCAAGAAGATCTTGTGAGTCAGAGAGTGACAGGAGAGAAAGGGATAGCCCCCAATCTCATTCCTCAGATTTGCTCTGGGAGAAAAGCCAGGGTGACTGCCCATGGGAAGAGTGCTTTACCTGTCCATGGTGGAATCCAGGGTGTCTTTCTTGCCTCCCTGAAAGACTCAGGCCAAGGAAAGCTTGCCTCAAGCACTGCTGCTTCACTGACTGTCTGACAATGCGCTGGCCCCTACATTCAAATTTGAGCTTGCCCTTCTGGGCTCCTCCCCCCACAGCATCACCACCACCAGGTACCCCACCAGCCTTCCTCCTGTTTGGGTTCAGTAAAGATGGGCGGGGCTGTCACAGGCAGAGTCAGATGACTGAGGGCCACACTCTGCTTAATGTATAGGTTCCTTTAGGGCTGCTTCTCTAAAAATGCAGTCCATGCCCCACAGGTAACAAAGATCAGGAGTCAGTAGCAGTAGAAACTTTGTAAATTGTAATCACGGTAAGAAATAATATCTTTAATTTTAAAAGCGTAATAATAATAATAATAGTAATATTGATTTAAATAGCATCTTGTGTTCCGTGAGCTGAAATCATCTGTTCCCTCCTTTAATTACACAGTATCTCTCAATCTCAATAGAGACCAGAACTAACAGCTCCTGCTTTGTGGTTGAGCAAGGAAACTCAGTTATGCGGGACTTAGAACATAGAAATTTTGCCTCTCAAACCACTGACTTTCTTTTCTTTCTGATGCATTACAAGAATTGCTAGAAAACAAGATGATTACACCAGTTATTTATGCATAAGCCATCTTTTCCACGAAAGCTATATGTTAATTTGAAGTCAGAAGCAGCAGCATCCCAAACAATAAAAAAAATGTTTATTTCATCAGGCAGAAGCAGCATCTGAATGACTGCATCAAACTTGGAAAACAGGTTGGGCTTTTCAAATAAGAGGCTTTAAGTTCCTGATCTCATACAACTTGGTCTATTAAGGATTTTGCTTCTCTCTCCTACCTCAGTCCATATGCAATCTATTTATTCATTCAATAGAAGCTTGATACCTACTGCATGATAGAAACTGTGCCAGGTGCTGGGGATACAATGGTGAGCAAAGCAACTAGGGTCCCTGCTCTCTCTTCCTGCCTCAAGGCTTTAAGTACCATCTATGCATTGATGTTTCCCAAATCTATGGTTCTAGCTTGGACCTCTCCCTTGAACTCAAGGCAAGTGTGTCCAACTTCTGCCTCAGCATCTCCATTTGGATGTTTGATGGGGATGTTTAGGCATCTCAAACATGCCTAAAAGTGAGCACCCAACACATAACCAGCTTCTCTTGCCGTCCTCCTTATCTCAATGGCAATGTCATTCTTCCCATTGCTCAGGCCAATCTGACAGTTTTCTTTTGATTCCTCTCTTCCTTTTAAGTTCCGTGTCTGATCCTTTAGCAAATCTTGTTAACTCTATTTACAGAATAAATCCAGGAACTGACCACTTCACGACCTCCAGGTCCAAGCAACCTGCATTTTGCATCTAGGCTCCCACCTGGTCTTCCTGCTTTCATTCTTCTTCAGTTACAGTCTCTTCTCCACACAGCAATCAGAGTAATCCCTTTGAAACATTTTAGATCATGTCATTTCTCTGTCAAAATGCTCCTTGGCTCCTCGCTCTCTCAGTAATAGCCTGTATCCTTATAATGGCTCACAAGACCCTCTGTCACCTGCCCCTGCCTTCCTCTCTGACCTCTTCACCTTCCACTGTCTCTCTCGTTCATGCAAAGAAAACACACTCCAGCCTCTGCCTTTGCACTGGCTGTTCCCGCTGCCTGGAATGTTCTTTCCCTCTAGGTCATTATGGCTTGATCCCTTATTGTATGTCTTTACTCAGATACTCCTTTGCAGTTGACTCTTTTCCTGGTCGTCATATCTAAAACTTCAACTATATCCCACAATTCTGATGTTTCTTTTCCCTAACTCATATTTCTCTTTAGCACTTATCACTTAAAAGATACCATTATCTGTGTTCCTTATTGAATCTTAGGTGTAGGAGAGGAGGAGTTTTTGTCTGGTTTTTTCCTTTTCCCATAGATATCCCTGGCACCTAGTACAATACTGGCCTATAGTAGACATGGAATGAATGTTGGATGTTGAATCAATTAGGGTCTCGTGGAACTTACATTCAGGTGGGAAGGACACATTCAAGTAACCGAATATGTAAAGAGATAATTAAAATGGATGTATGCTATGAAAGAAAAGCACATAGCACATAACAAGCCGTCTGACTGGCCTGGGGATCAGTGAAAGGACTCTTGGTTGGAAGAAGGTTATAGACAAGCTCCTAGCTTCCTTCTGTGTCAGATTGTTTGATGGTGGGTTACGGAAGAAAGGACGAAAGGGAGTAGTAGCTGCATCCTCTTAACATTCCATGCCCTGACGCAGAAACTTTCTAATGACTCCCTCTGTTACACTATAGAAGTTTAGACTTCCCTGTTCATCCTACCTCTCCTCTCCTCACCCCACCAATCCCGGGACATTAAGGGAAATTTCTGAAATGGGTTAATCCAAGTAACAGCTAATAGTTTTGAGTGCTTATGATGGTTAGGCATCGAGCTTAGCACTTTAAATATAGAGTAAGCATATTTAGGGAAGCTGGTTGTGGGGACAAAGTCTCTTGCACGTTCCTGAGTTGTGTTCGTGGTCGCTGATTCTATGAATTGCAAATTCTTCTTTGCTCCATTGTGGGTGCCCGGACAGGGATGGCATGATGCTAGTTCATTCTCAAGGACTCTCTAGGAGGGAGTGGATTTAATGTGGGGCAAGCCTCACTTCCCTTTGCAATGCTCTCACTTTTCTCCAATACAATCACACCAAATGGTAAAGGTACAGCAGATTTTACTGAAGTGTTGGAGAAACCAAAGGGAGTAACACATGTGAGAGAAGTGATATAAATTAATAGGTTAATTATGGCTCTTTTTATAGTTTAAGAGAAAATTTCCAAAGAATTAAGCTCTTCACAGGGGCCCTGCTCATGACCACACTCCGTCCATAGTCTTGCTCCCCCGTCCTCGAGTCCACTCCTCTCTGTCATAAAGAATTTCCCTTCTACAGGGAAACTCACCGTGTGTTCTTATGAGTTATTCTCACCCAAGGATCCATGCTTCTTCTCTAGATACTTATTTCTCCAAGACTTAATCATTATTTCTGAAAGAATTCCTCAGGGCACCAGAGAGACAGTAGACGGTAATCCCCGTAGGCACTCTAAATTCCACGGAACATGTGGGAGTCGGGGGCAGGGAGGAGGCTCCAGATTCCTCTGCAGAGGCCACGGTGGGGTGTGGGCAGTGCAGTCTGATTCCTTTAAGTTGTCTCCTCAGGTTGACTTGGGCCTTCACCATATCTTCATCCAATTGTCCAGAGAATCATATACACGCACACTTAGATCCTTCCAGAGAATAAATATTAATTCTTAGGGATGGTAACTTCTCTAAATCCAAACAATAAAAGAGAAAAAAACTCTCAACTGCTCCGGTGAGAGGCTCCCTCACTGGTACTGCAGTTTCTACTTCACGTGACGATGCACATCTCTATTAGTTCCTTTTGTATATTCTCTCTTCTCAAATTATGCCCCTTTCTTCCAGCTAGGAAGAAAGAAAACTGGCCCATTGCTGATCCACCTGCTTCTCTTTTGTTTGGTTTTGGTTTAGTTCATTTTTGTTTTTTGTGATTCTAACTATTTTTAAGTGTGTAATTCGGTGACATTAATTACATTCACAGTGTCGCACAACCATCACCACTATCTGTTTCCAAAACCTTTTCATCACCCCCAAAAGAAACCCATGACCATTAAGCAATGAGTCATCATTCTCCCCTCCCTAACCCCGGTACCTCTAGTCTACTTTCTGTCCCTATGAATTTGCCTGTTCTAGATATTTCATATAACTAGAAACATACAATCCTTATACTTATTGCGTTTCCCCATTATCCTCTTCCACTCCCATGTAAAAAGTCAAAGGCCTCACGACATGGAAGATTTCAACAATTTTTATTCGCCCCTGTATGTAGAGTAAGTCCAAATCTGGCAGGCCTACAAGTGTGATTGCTGCTATAGCATCATGTAAATGTTAAAGATAAGACATAGATTCCAGGGAAATTTCAGCCTAACATGAGTGGTTTGGGATTATATCCTCAGATGCTCAACATTTCTTTCTTTTCTTTTCTTTTCTTTTTTTGAGGAAGATTAGCCCTGAGCTAACTGCTGCCAATCCTCCTCTTTTTGCTGAGGAAGACTGGCCCTGAGCTAACATCCGTGCCCATCTTCCTCCACTTTATATGTGGGACACCTGCCACAGCATGGCTTGCCAAGCGGTGCCGTGTCTGCACCCGGGATCCGAACCGGCGAACCCTAGGCTGCCAGAGTGGAACGTGCACACTTAACCGCTGCGCCACCAGGCCGGCCCCAGCATTTCTTATTTTACTCTATAGAACAGTTTAAGGGAAAAAAAATTGAGAAGCAATGATTCTGTAATTCGCAATAGAATCCTTGCTAAAGCATCCCAGACAGTGATCTCCTACCCTCTTGTGTAATCCCAGTAACAGGGCATGCGTCACCCACTAGTGCCGTGAGTTCAGAGGAAGAAGAGAATCACCACAGACGGAAGTCATCTAAGGCTCATGATAGACATAGTGCTTGATTGAGACCTTAATGAATGGATAAAATTTTAATAAATAAAGAGTATAGAGCAGGGAATTCCGGGAGGACCGTCTTTGAAGACAGAGAGACTTGGGCCCTAGATCTATTCCTTTCACTTACGACACGCATCACATTGGGAAAGAATTCTTTCCTCACAAAGTCTTTCTGAGAATCTCCTTAGCTACTGTGTGTAAATGTGAAAGCATGGTATCTGGAATTTGTGGAATATGCTTGATAAAATTACTCATCCTCTCTCCAGGTGACAGAAACAACATGAGCAAAGGCAGGCCCTGGGGATGTGCTTCATATGTTTTAGCAATCATGGGTAGCTTAGTCTGGTTTGAGTGATGGCACGTAACAAAACAATATGACAGATAAAACTGAGATGTTATTCCTATTCCACATAAGTTTCTTAAGGAAAAATTTCCAACAAAATCGAGAGTTAAATATCTTGCATAATGGCTGTAAAAATTAAAGAGTCATGATTTGTCCAGCATAAGAAATAACTTTATTTTCCAGAAAGCTATACTCATTTCCTGTTCACCTTTCCTCTTTTAAAGGAAGGG